TCGTCGGACTCGCTGTCGGGATCGTCGTTGGAGTCGTCGGGTGTTGTACTGCACTTGGCGCCCGATATGAATGCTAGCCAAAAAATGGGCCAAGCAGTACATGGAGACGACGCAGGCCGCCATGCTCATCGAGTACAACCTGAAAAACAAACGGGGCAAGGTCTACCGGTGCTACACAAAGATGCATGGAGCGTGCCACTACGAAATCCGTCTCGTCGTCAAGAAGGTCGCCAAGACGACCGTCGGCGTCGAGGTTCTCGAGCTAAACCGACACAACGAGCCTCATGTCGATGCCATGGACGTACCGTACCGCGGTAACCGTCGAGAAGGAAGCGCTGCAACGACCGCTCGTCGTGCCTCCAAGCGCCGTCGCGCGAACGACGATGATTCCGACGGCGACGGCGACGGCGACGACACCTCGTATGGTATCGAGCCGACGCTGCGCGACCGTATCGACACCTCTTCCACCACGTCGTTAGGGGCAAAGTCGATCCTCTCACGGCTTCGCTCGGAGTTTCTTGAGGACGAGTACCTGTCCAGCAAGATGCCGTCGTACGACCAAGTCGCCAATCGGCGTGCTTACAGCAAGCGTCGAAAGAAGGGTCCGATGGATGAAGAGCCCTGCTTGGTGTGAGGGAAATCACAATATATATATTCTGCTGTTCTAGCCTAGCTATTAATATGCACTTACTCGTATACAGGTAGGTGCGGGACGCTCGTTTGGGCCATGCATACGCCGCCTCGTGCGTGCCTTTGAGCTCGGGCCTTACAATGGAGCTCTTTGCTCATCTCGCCGAGTGGGCCAGCAACAAGATGCCAAGGGTATATAATGAATGAATGAATCAATCAATCAATCAATCAATCAATCAATCAATCAATCAATCAATCAAACGTGTTTGCGTTGAAATCAAGTTGGCAGAAACTAACTCCAAGACTTCGCATACGTAGTGCTACGCCTCAATGCGTGGGAGTTGGCACCAGCACTTGGTCGTTGGGAGTGAGCTGCGCACGGAGAGATCCATCCCGTGGTGGACCCCACTCGCCGAGGGTTAGCTCGCTCGAGGTCGAACGCAGGCTCCTGTACTCGGACCACCCGACAGAGAAGTGCAAGCCGTCGGGTGTGTTATAAAATGAATGCAGTTATTATAAACCTTGAAGCTGCTTGACACCAAGGAAAAGCTCTTCGTCACCACGCCCGATGCCGTGCCTGCCAAAACTGCAGTCGGCGCTACAGCGCTGGATCCGCTCCACGACTGATTGATGCTTTGGGACTTGGCCAAGATCGGCGCGAGAATGATTGCAGCGGCACTCCAAGACTTGCGACGCGCGTGGCCCTTCGCGTGTGTGGATCTGGGTTGCTGCGACATCAACCGTGACGCCGTCTGGGATCTTCTCCTGGCGATGGCTTACCGCCGCCGGGCTCACACCACCGTGGATTTCTCGGTCAACATGTAGAAGGACATGTTCAAGGGGGTTCAGCGTGTCGCGCAGATGCTCTATCGTGTTCAGGTCCTCCGTCGTCAGTCGAACGGGTAGAGCCTCGGAAGCCCTTCCTGCAAAAGCAGCACTCTATGTTGCATGCATTTCTATTACATTTTGGAGAGAGAAAAGCCGTACGCACCACATAGAGAAAAATTGTACAATTTTGTCAAGTTTGTGGGGAATAGAGAATGTAGCCACGACCCTGCTGGTGCACGATGTGGGTCCCACATGCCAACTCGGCGACAGACGTGATAGCGTCGTACGTCTCGGTGAGCATGCCGAGAATGATTCTTGTATCCACGAGGTGGGCGGCTGCAGAAGTGAGAGTCCGCACGCTGCCGAGATCGATGCCGTTGGACCTGAGATCGAGACGCTCCAACGCCGACGATCTCGGCGAGGCTTCAAGGACCGCCGCCACCATATTGACGCCTTCTCTGCCGAGCTTGCAGTCGCTCAAACAAACGTCGGTGACGCCAGACGCATTGATCCAGTGGTTCAGAGCCGACTGAAGGATCGACAAGTCGGTTCCATCAAAGCGCATGCCGTCGCACGCGACCGATCGCAGCTGCTGCAAGCCACAGGTCCACTGCAAGAGCTCTTCCAGAGCGTCGTCTGAGGCAACCAAAACGCCGTTTAGCGTCAGCTCGCGCAGACGTGGCGTGGCGTTGGCCAGCGCCAAGGAAGTCTTGCACAGTCGACCATAGCTCAATCGTAGCTCTTGGAGACGAGGCATCGTTGAGAGCAGGGGTAGCAATTCGCCGAGGTCGTCCACCATGGTCTGCACATCGAGACGCGTGAGCGTCGCAAGGTCGAGGCGCGCCAGCAGTTGGATTGCCATGTTGACCGACGGATGCGAGATCGTGAAGCGCGTCAGATGTGGTAGCGACCTCTCGCTGGCCACAAGTGCGTCCACGAGCTCGGACGACTGCATGTCGAGCGCTGACAGCGACGACGCGGTCGCAAGTACGTTGGCGACCGCAGCGGCATCGTCCAGCGCCAGCGCGCAGCGGATGGTCACGCTCTTCTTCTTGCGGCCCGTCGAGAGCCACGCTTGCAAGGGCGTCGCGAGTCGCCACACAACGCCAGTATCCTCGTCGGCGGCGGTGTCATGATAGATCGAGACATGGCGAACGCTCGACGGCAACGATGGGAGTACATTAGCAAACAAGTCCGCATCGATGCTTACGTCACCAAGCTGCGAGCAGTGCTGGAAGAGGCTGCGAAAGACCACAAGGTTGCTGCGATCGACATCTTGCGTGATTGACGCAATTGCATGCGGCCAGGCAGCAGCGAACGCGCCGAGGTTGTCGTACCGACCGCCGAGTGCGCGTTGAAAGGCCCCGAGGCTGCGAATTTGGATCGATGGGATCACTGGAAGGGCGGCAAAGGCGAGGCTCATGTGCTGTGGGCCCAACTTCTCGAGGGCGGGCATGGGCCAGCGCTTCTTGAATGGCAAGGACGACGTCAAGAGCCAAAGGAGCGCCGCCAGGGGCGCATCGAGCGATGGCAAGACGCTTAAAAAGGCGACGACGTCCCGCGGGAAGTACAAGCGCCGGACGATCAAGAGGATGACGTGGTCGAGGGCCAAGGCCGGCGTCAGACCATTCCTGGCTTGCATCAGATTGCACTTTGCGCGTATCCGGACATAGCCAGAGCCACGCCGGCATTTTTATCCGGACGACTAAGACGACTAAGGTTGACATCGAGGATACGTGCTGCGCGGTCGTTGCCGATACATGACGAGGTGGTGTACTATTGTTCGACTAGTAGTACATTAACATTGTACTGTAGATGTTAGGGTTGGTGTTGTTGTCGCTGCAAAGGCGCGTAGATCGGTTCTTCTCACTTGACATGAGGTCCCTATATAATCGCCACGGGGTCACTGAGAAGCGTTACTACTAGGAGCGCCCCAACAACCAACGAGATGCGCTTTTCACAGTGGAGCTGCTTGTGGGTTCGACCGTTCTCGAGCCACTGCCGCAGAGGAGCATGTAAGCACGTAAAGCTGGAGGCTAGGAGGTTGGGGTGTTGGGGTGCTGTGTGAAGCTAGAGTTTCAGCAAGCTAGTCATCTCGAGCTCGACGCACCAATAGCAGCGACTCTCATGTCCGAGATTCTTTCCACGCGCCACCTTTATTCAAGGACCCACAGAAAAACGGTGATTGTAGGAACGTGATTCTAGGGACTACAGTATGGCGCACGGCAAATCATAGCGCAGCAAAATAAATCGGACACGTCAACACCCATGGGGTGACAATGGGGTCCAAACACGATTTGTATCGTTAGCGGCACGGGACCATGCATAGCGTCGACGCGCATTGCGTCCGTGCTTTGAGGTTTTGTCGACGGAAACAAGCTGCGTCGGGTTCGAGTAGAACGGCACGAGACGCTGGTAGTACATCGGAACCTCGTAGGTAAAACTCTCGTGAGCTCTCAAAGAGCTTGCGGGTCAAGTCGAGGTTGAACCTGAGCGCGCGACAACTTGAGGCGGTCAAGAACCGCGTTTCGCTTGGGAATGCCGCCTTGAGGACGTCCTGGAGCTTGTCGATGTAGAAGCACAGATAAGATTCGACGTAGCCCTGGACGATGTCGAATAAGCTCGAGCTCCAAGCCACGCCCGTCGTCTCTATACACGCTGGCTAGACGTTGCCATGGAGCTGGAAATACCCATTCCAGCGCCGAATGGAGCGCACCGATAAACCAAGGACAACGGCAAGGAGGCGCAGCTCGATGCCGCAAAGGTACTGGAGGACGATACCGCGCCGTCCGAGGTCGGGCTATGCATCATGGCAAATCAAAAAATCAAGCGAAATGTGCAACGACTGGCCAATCAGAGACGGCGGATATTGCCCACACGTGGCTCCCGACTAAAACCGTATTAGGGTTATCGAGTGCGACCTCAAGGGACTTGAACTCGTTTTAGTAATACATTCGGGTCAAATCTGTCGTACTAGTACCAAATACGATGAAAGAAGGGAGTTCGAGCCAAATCTATTTCACGGCGCTTGATTGGTCCAAATGTATTTTCGGTATTTTGGCCAATCACATTGCGTTGCCGGATAACGGTCAACGTATCCGTCCACTTGCGATCCTCCGAGCCTGCCCCGAGTACTACCTCCAAGCCATGGCCCCGCGCAGTCGCCGCAACGTGGTCGCGCCGCCTTGTGAAGCATGCGGCAAGACGTGCAAGACTGTGTGTCGTCGGAATCCGTCTCGCTGCTACCTCTGCGTTACGTGCCAGAAGAAAGGACGACTTCCGGCGCATGCAGCTCTGCCGCCGATCGACCCAGCTGACCACCAAGTCCGTGCGCCCAGCCTTGCGGAGCCCGTCCAAGCCGCTCCAGCTCGTGTAGCACATGCATTTCCGACTATTGCTCCTCTTCCCGACCCCCAACAGGCCCGGGCAGCGGCGCGGATCCTCCCTCGGCCAGCAACGATCGTTCCATTCCACGCAGTGCACGTCATCCCGGCTCGTCGAATTGCCCCACAAGTCGCGCAGGCACAAGTCGCGCAGGCACAAGTCGCGCAGCCACAAGTCGCGCCGGCACAAGTCGCGCAGGCACAGCAGCTTGAACTTGACGCTCTCGTGGCCCTGCTAGCCCAACGCAACAGTGAGATCCAAGAGCTCGTTGCAACCGCGTCGACCAGTTCCCAACAGTATGCGCAGCAGCAGCGCCTCCTCTTCGCTGAGATTATGCACCTCCGTGCAGCCGTGGCGACCGAGCGCGAGCATCGAATGCGACTCGAGCAGCAACTGGCATTCAATGTCGCCGAGCACGAGGCGGCAGTGGTGCGGATCGAGCACAGTCATCGCGAAGCGGTCGACGCGTTGCAGCAACAGATGACCGCGGTCGTGGCAGCGCGCGAGATATCCGCTCAGCAAATGCGCAGCTGCAACAAGACTTGGAAGACAACCGCAAGGTCGTGTACTCCGACGACCCCGTCGAGAGCTCACGGGCAGCCGTTGCGAGCAAGCGCAAGCGTGCGATTGCCCCAGCTCCGCTGATGGTTGAGAACCGACCAGTGCGCCCGCGCCACATGGAATCCGCTCTGCTGGCCAAGGTGGCGTAGCATTGGCGCCGCAGCATTTATTTTATTGCATCACCAATTGAAGAAAAGGTGATTCTATTTATGTTTCAAGCTCACAGCTTCGTACCGTCGTCGTACGAATAGAAGACCTGCTCAGCACCCCATTATCTGAAAATAGGACAGGTCCCGGGAGCTGGTAGGAACTGTTGAATGCGAAGCGTTGTTTATTGGTATTTGCGCCGTCGTCGCTTGCTGCAGTCTTTAATGTGGCATCGCACCTCGGTCACCTGGTTCTTCCAGAGCATCTTTGACGCCTTCGTCATGCGTCGAGTTGGCCTCCGTCGATGGGGTTGCTGCGGTGGCTTGCTCACGCTTTGCGAGTCTTGCCTTCCTTCGGGTTTCTAGCTTTTTCCTCTGCGCTTACCGCTCCCGGAAGAGCTCCGCCTCGTACAACGTTCCCTGCTTCCCATGAGACCCCATGGTACTTGAAGGCGTCCTTGCCGTCTCCTGCTGTCCGGATTCTAAGCGCAGTGAGTTGCTCTCGTAGGTGCAGCTTTGAGGACGTGATTTCTGCGCCGTATCAAGAGGGGCACCATCGTGATGCCGTCTCCTGCTGTCCGGATTCAAAGCTGCCCTAGTCTCGAGTGGAGATGTTGCAACATGAATTCGATGACGCACATCAAGGTGGGTGACGCGCTCGCCCGGTGCTTTCGACAAGCGACGTCATCGTGACGTTTCAGGGCTCGGACTTTGATGCTGCGCTTGCAAATGCCCTGGCCGGCTCGACTCAAAAGTTATCGTCTACGACAATCTGGTCGACGGGGGCTGGACAATGGCAATGAGGTCTGCTTCGCACTGCGTCAGAATCGTGTCGGACGGGGTAGTGGATGCGGTGGAACCCTTGCCCTTGCGTTGTCGGTCGATCTACGCGATGCATTTCAATCCATCTCATCCATACCGGTATCAATCAATTGGCGTACACTAGTGTTGACAACAAATGCTCTTTGTCGTACTACATCTAACGTTAGCCTATACATTACGACGCTATTATCCACGAGTCAGCGTCCTACAGACGTCGGTCCTACCTCCATCGACCTCGCACTGCACACGCTGTGGGAATGGCACCTTGATGTTTTTCGTAAATCTAGCATGACCAACTTGTGTCTCTATGTGTCTCTATCCATATCCTGCGACCAAAACAACTGCAGTAGCAGCAACATGACATGGTGGTATTAAATGTACTAGAGACTTTGAAAGCGCTACGAGGCGGCGCCGAGCTTGTCCACGCGCAGCGCCAGTGTGCGCGCATGGTCTAGAATACTACGCTTGCAGTGGCCCCACTTGCCACGTCCAGGCTTGTCGACAACGGTGAGCTCCAACGCTTCTTGCAACCTGCCAGCACCGCAAAGATAGAGGCATCAGTAATGACAAAGAACGCGGCATCGCTGGGGACATAGGTCAAGGCATAGCTGCGAAAAGAGTCCGGCGTGTCGACGACGCGCACCACCAGCGGACGCAAACAGTCGCACGACGCAGAAGCACAGTCGCACCGTCGATGCAACCCGGCACCAATCGCGACAATGCCATCGGCATAAAGCGCGCACGTGCCGAAAACCACGCTCGAGACCCGAAGCGCGCCAATCCAGTGGGCGAAAACCGGCTTGAAGACAGCGTACTGCTTCACCGAGAGGTTCATTTGGGTGAGCACGACCGTCTCGAGGCGTGCAAGCCCACACGTCCACGTAAAAAACGTCTGGTGCGAGGCCGTTGCAAAGTTGACCTTGCACAGCGCCAAGGTCGTGAGGCGCGGATTCGTCCCAAGCGCCATCACAGCGTCTTCGTGCATCATGCACCGGCGCAGCGAGAGCGCTTCCAGCGCCGTCATTCGTGGCAAGAGACGTAAGAGCCAGCTTCCATTGGCGCCACAGTCGATCGTCAAGGCCGTGAGCTTCGTCAGATCAAACAGCCGCAGGCACGCACTCAAGTCGTACGACTTGGCCACGAGCCGGAGTCGCGTCACGTGCGACAGCGGCTCGTTCGCGGCGACGAGTGCGTCCAGAACCGGATCGGCAGCTTCAATGTCCACGCTTTCCAGCGACAACGTCGACGCCAATACGTTCGCATCTCACCATCGAGTGCCGAATGAATGCCCTTCACACCCAGATGCGTGCACAGAGACGTGTCGAGCCATTGCGCAACGGCGACCGCAGCGGTCCGCCACAAAGCTTGATCGACACTCGTATAAGAGCCGACAAGCGATAGCCGGCGCACGCTAGGCGGCAGCAAGGGCAAGAGCTCCGCAATGATCGCAACGTCGGCACTGATGCACTCGAGTCCTGTGCAGCTCGGCAGCGCGTGCTGGATCGCGCCCAGAGTCTGCTGGTTCACGCAGCAATCAAGTCGTACAATCTTGGGGAGCGAGGCCGCCAGCGCGGTGCGAAGGCGACGGCCGTGAGGACCGAGCAAGTGGCCAGCGTGCTGCGCGAGCATGCTGGGCCGGCAGACTGCAAGCGATGCCAGCGCGGCAAGCGATCGCAGCGCGGGAAGGGCCGTGATGCCAAGCAGTTGGTGGTTGACGTCGGCCACTGGGCACAAAATGTGCGCGACGTTACCAAGAGCGTGGTAAGCGCCGTGAGCTGCTCGTCCAAGGTGGGCAAGGCCGTCAGAAACGCCAAGATGTCTCTCGGTGAGACCAGGAACGGCACGATCAAGAACGCGACGGCGTCCCAGGCGGCGGGATGGGCTTGACGCCATAGTTTGGGTGGGCGCTGGCTGGTCATTTGGCGAGTTGACGAGTAGATTGTCGGCGTCTTGTGATGGGAAAGGACGTGGTCGTTGGTCGTTTTTCGGAAACGCTGCCACCGACACTGGAGTCGTGAAGCGCCAAACTCGCTGGAGCTTCTCGCTTCACGCGCGTCCAATGAAAAGGGATGTGATTATCGTGGTCCCTGGGGCATACTACTGCGAGAGGATGCCTGCTGATTGGCTGAATCGACTGACTGCGCGTGCTGGGCCTGTCGACGGTCACCTTCTCTGTCGCTTGCCCGGCTGACGCGGGTGCCCCGGTGTCCCGGGTGAAGCGAGAAGCTCCAGCGAGTTTGGCGCTTCACGACACTGGGATCGAATTGACCGACGAAACAGTTCATTATAGACAGCCCACGCAACCCTAATCGTCGACACGTCGTTTTTTGCATCGGCAACGACAGATTGGCTGTCTGAGGTGGTGCCCTGTCCGTGACGAAGGAAGAAGACGTGGGAATCGAACCCGCGACTGCCTCGCGGTGCGCCTGCGTCCAAGTCGACGAAAAGACGTTTCCAAGAAGCACCCTCCTTGACGTTTTTGCTTCGGACGCGGGTGCGATGCCATCAGAGCTTGGAGGCAAAAGATGTGATTTTGTCGGCGTCAATGCGACGCCGCGGCAGCCCGTCGTTGATTGTATTGGAACTTTGGTCGCGCCTCGACCACGTCTCGATCGTGTGCAACGAGGACCGTTGCGTTTCAAGTTCTTATCTCGAATCATGACAGCACAATATACACTTTACATTTCACTCTACGACTTACCCACGTCTCTGCCCCGTGTTCTGCACCTAACCTTGCAGCTTCGAATAGTTGCATTATTTTATTTGCTCGGTGACACTGCTCTCGCCGGCATGTAAACAAGGTCGGTCATTACGATGGCACCTTAATAATTGCGAGTCTCAGTTTAACTACCGACAAGTGAGCTGCTGGTACTATTGATGGTGGGTCTTGACGTCGAGGACGGGGATCGGTGACCGACCGTTGGGCGCCATGTGCAGCATCGTGCGCTTGGGCACTTGGAAATGGAGCGCCATGTACGAGATAAGGTTGAGGCCGACGATAAACGCAATGAGGCAGCACACGTCTTGGGTCTGGTTGTTGACGTCTTGCCCGATCGTTTGGAGAAACACTTCGCCGTAAATCGGAATTGCCGGGTACCCGGGCGCGTCAAAACTCAACAAGAGGCCCTTGAGCTCGTTCGTCATCATAATCTCAAACGCATACTTGAAGAGCGAGAGCCACTGGATGGGCGCGACGCCGCTCGGCATGGTCTGGACGTTCAGCAGAAAGCCACCAAAGAGGAGCATGAGCAACAAGACGACCGTTGCCACGAGGTTCGCAATCCCGACCGTCTTGGAGACCGTGCTGACGAGGAGACTCAGCGAGCCCGCAGCCACGTTGAAGAGCACCAAGGTCGACGTAAACAACAAGAAGCGGTCAGCCGGCGGGTTGAGGCCCATGATGTAGTAAAAGACAGCGGCGAAGAGAACGGCTGGCAAGATGCGCAGCGAGACCAAGTCGAGGAGCGTCTTGGACACAAAGTAGCTCCACGGCGCGTAGTACTGAGCGCTCGCTTCCTTGAAAAAAAGCGCGCGTTCTTGGATAAAGACGTCCATGGAACTCAATGTCGCAAACCCAAAAAACGTCAGCAAAAAGTAAAATGCCCCCATGCGGTTCTGGAACCCCGCGAGATTGAGTTTGAGGCCAGAAAAGATACCGCCCGCGACGAGACCAAGCACGATGCTCAAGACGACGTGGAAAATGAAGAGGGCGCGGTTGCGCCACAGTGTACGCGCTGCTCGCACAAAGAGCACCTGGAGCTCGAGAAGACGACTGCCACGGGCGGCCTCACTCGACGCCTCGACGTCGTCGGTTGCGGCCGCTTGGAGCATCTCAAACGACGACGTGTTGGCAAACGAGACCGACAACGGATCGTGCTGCGCGCGCCAGAGAACGTCAAGCGACTCAATGTGCTGCGGCTGCGTCACGACATCAAGAAGGTGGTCGGCGATCGTCTCATCGGCCGGGCACGCAAGATCGTGCTCTGCGAAATAGTCGGCCGCCAGCTTGGACGGACCATTGTACATGACCTTGCCTACACCAAGCGATCGTGAGCATTCAAGATTTGGGTAAGAACATAAGAAAACAGACAATAAGACAATAAGAAAATATGAAAAATAAGAAAATATGAAAAATAAGAAAATAAGGAAATGCAAATACGAATGCCATAAAAGATAAAAGACAGGAGTGGGTACCGTCGGCAAGCAAGAGCACCTTGTCGAGCTTGAAGAACGACTTGGTGCTTGGCTGGTGGATGCTCATAATGACCATGCGCCCATTCTTCGCGAGCGCTTGAAGCACCGAGATGAGGCTATTGGCCGTCGCGCTATCCAGCCCGGACGTCGGCTCGTCCAAAAACAAAATGGACGGCGACGTGACGAGCTCCATGCCGATCGAGAGCCGCCGCCGCTCGCCGCCCGAGATGCCGCGGAGGCCCTGCGCGCTGCCAATGCGTGCGTCGGCCACGTGCGAGAGCCGGAGTTCTTCGAGGACCTTGGCGACCATGAGCTGCTTGGACTGGAGCGAGTACGTGCTCGGGAGCCGCAGAAACGCAGAGTACTCCATCGACTCGCGCACCGTCAGCGTCGGCAGCAGCGTGTCGTCTTGGTGCACGTACGCCGCGAGGCGGCGGTAGTTGGAAGGCAGCGGCAGGCCGTCCAGCGACATGTAGCCTGTGATGGTGGTCGTGCCATTGGCGACACCGGCGAGCGCATTGAGGAGCGTCGTCTACACCAACGTCAGTTTTGACTCAAAGCCATATGTAAAGGGCACCTTGCCCGAGCCTGACGGGCCCATGAGGCCGAGCACTTGGCCGCGATGGATGCTGCCCGACACTTGGTGCAGAATCGTATGGGTATTTGCGTCGCTTTTGTCTGGCTGGCGCTGCCAGAACCGCTTGCGCGGCGCCGAGGTGCAGGTAATGTCGCCAAACTCGAGCTTCTCGCCGCACGCGGGCACCGAGATCGTATTGAGCGGCGCGGTCGAGAGCGGGTCCTCGAGCGACGACGACGGTTTGAGCAGCGCCGACCGACGCACTTGCACTTGGTACGACGCGTAAAAGAGGCACGCGAGCACGATGATGGAGCCGGCGACGCCAAGCACCGTGATGAGCGCAATGAGGAGCGCGGTGGAGAAGGGCTCGGACGGAGGCGGCGCGTCGGCATCGGCCTTGCTGCTCGCCGTGCCGCCGTTGATGGCAGCGTCGACTGCCGCCGACTCGCACGACGACGCCGTGCACGTGCCACCGAGCGGCAAGGGCGAGCCCGTGATCGTGACCGTGAGCGCGCTCCCGCTGGTCGTCACCGTGAGCGGCCTAGTACCGTCGCATTGACATCGTCGCTAGCATCGTCGGACGTACTTGTTGAGCATGGTTTGCTCAAAGAGGATCTTGGAAAAGTCGCTGCAGAGGTCCGTGCACTTGCAGACGAGGTTGCTACATGAGAACGACGTGCCGGCAAACGTGCAGCTGTCCATCGTGCAGTCGACTGCGTGCTCGCCGGCGACACCGGTCGCGTTCTTAAACACGGCCATCGTGCACGTGTTCTTGGACCCGGCGCTGCAATCGAGCGCCATCGCGCCGTCGGTAAAGACCGCTTGGAGCGTCGCGCTCAAGATGCAGTCGTACGTCTTGGTCTTCATGCCAGGCACAAACTCGAGCGACTGCACGCACCGGTCGCCCTTGGTGGTCGCGCTGCAGGCCTTGTCGTTGACGCACATGCCGCAGTTGTAGCCCATGCGGCCGTCCGCGCACGCGGCCATGGCCATCGCCGGCAGCGCCGCGAGCAGCAGCCAGAAGCGAAGCATGCTGATGATCCCAGTCTGCACCCGTCGCGGTTATTTGGCTCGGTGGCAGCAATTTAATGCATATCTGCGCAATGGACTTGGTGTTTGTATGTCGAATTAAGAATGCGGATTAAAAGAGCGGAATGTGCGCACAGGACAGAGTGGTTGTAACAGGAGCGCGACGTCGATATACAATTAGACAGGTTTGCACTTGAGACTTACATACCAAAAGCAGGTTAAAGGATACACATATGACAATTGCACTATGCAAAGAGAGAGGTATTGAATTGCAGAGAGTGGGCCGGCCGCCAGATGGACACCGACCGCGATTCGTTGGATCTCGGTCATCCTCTCGGTTCAATCAAGCCAGGGATGGCTTCAAGAATCCCTTGCCACGACCACGCAACCTCGTCCTTGGACCGACAGATTCGATGGGTTACATGTATCCATTTCGCGGTGTCGGACACGAGAGATAAGCTCGTGGCGATCTCATGGACAGCCCATGTAGACAGCCGACGGTTCGTGACCTGGGCTGCGGTGGAAGCACTGGGTGGCAAGGGTCGAGTCGGCAAGGAATGTCATATATGTGTGCTCACAAATGTGTAGGGTTTTGAAATTTTGTCACCGGATGACACTTTACGACGCGACGGAGAAACGCTTGGGCCGCGACGACCACATCTAGAGTCGACGCACGCGATACTAGTACAGTGTAGGGACGTGTCTGGACCAGAATCGCAGCGTTGTAGCTCTGCGTAGTGGGTTGGTCTAGCGCAGTCGCGGCGTAACCGATGGCATTTTTGCTGCATGCTAGGGTCGTGCCTCAGAGTGCAAGAGATGGGCATGCAAGCTGGTGCTGCATCACGTTGACTGTCAGCGACCGCGGCTGCAATCATTCGTGCAGTCGTCAAGAACACGCCTGGATTGCCTGTGCTCGGGTATGCATTCTTACGGGTTTTTGCAATCTATAAAACATTGCAAACGGCATTTGATAATATGCATTGCTGAAGGATATCCACTTATCGAACCATACTCTGTTATGGGCTATTGTTTTAAACACCCACCGCAGAACATCGACTATGAGAGGTTTCCATTGACCACGTATCCGGTTGATCCGGAAAGCAGAGTCAGTCAACAACAACCCGCAGCAAGGACCGAAGGATCGCCCGATGAACCTGCTCCAGGGCAAGACGAACCAGTACCTACGGGATGCGATCCTCGAGAACCACGTCGACAAGGCGCGCCGGTACCTCACGCTCAAGATTGGCAAGGCCGACGTCGAGGCCACGACCGAGGTAGCGCGCCTGCCACCTCTCGTTGGCCTCATCCGACGTGCTAGAGCGGGGGCTTCTCGATGCTGCACTGCGCCGCCGTTATGGGCTCGACGCCCATGGTCATGATGCTTCTGCAGCTCAATGCAAGCATCTGGACGCTTACCGACGTACGATGACTGCGGCGCATGCCATGGCTCATCGATTTGGCTCTAGGACGGCTACTCGGCGCTTGACTTGGCGATCTGGAAGGGCCACACACAGATCATTGACATTCTGCGCTCCCAAGGGTACATGCGCGCCTCTTTTTTATAGCAGCGATACCATGGCTACGGTAGGGCGATCGCACCCATGAAGGAGCCCGAGTCGCTCAACGGCAAGAAGATCTTGCACCTTGGCCGCGAAGCCACAGTCGTCGAGTACTATCCGAGCACCGCGATCAAGACCAAGAGCACGCGCGCCTTGCACTACGCAACGGGCGAGAACTACCTCGTCAACCTCTGGGCCGGCACGGACTACAAGATCATTGGTCTGGAAATGAACCTGGAGCCGCTCAGGCAGCTCAACTACATTCCCACGGACGTGGGCATGGACATGGAGGCCGAGAAGTCGCCGTCGCATGCGCGTGTTGAGGCCGCCATGGAGCACATCCTCGAAGGCCAAGCATTCTTTGACGAAGACACAGACGACGACGACGACGAAGACGACACGCTGTCGTCGGGTCCGCGCCGCCCGTCGGCTGCCGAGCTCCGCGAAATGAACGACGACGACGACGACGACGACGACGACTCGGACTCGGACGACGACGTGGTTGTCGAAAAGACCGTCGAGGTCACCGTGCCGCCGGGACCCCTCGGTGTGCTTCTCGATAGCGGCATCTCCGAGTGCGCGGTTGTTCAGGGCTTTACCGCGCTGCCATCGGGTATCAAGGGCACGATCGAAGCCAGCGGCCTTGTGACCCCCGGCATGTACATGATTGGCATCAACGAAGTCAACGCGTCGCTCATGTCTCTCCAGCAAGTGATCCAGCTCCTCGGCAAGCTCGCGCGCAAGGACAAGGTCATTCGCTTTGCTGTCTTCCGCCCCAAGCCCGCGCCCAAGCCGACACCCGCCCACAAGCCGCGCCCGGTGACCCCGCCGTCGCCGGTCGCTCGACCCGCGCCACCGTCGCCCGGCTCGCGTCCCTCGGCGGCGCCGACAGCCACGTCGATGGCCAGCCTCGTGGGCATGCTGCGCACAGGCGGCGAGAGTCGCCGGACGTCACTGGCGCCCGCGCCAATCGCCATCAAGCTGCAGTCGCCACCAGAGGCCGAGTGCGTGCACTGCGGTGTCCCCGAGTCGGTGCACACGTCAGACGCATGCCCGTACAAACCGTAACAAGGCCGTCGTGGTTTTTTGTATCGACTTGATCTTTGCGTGTGTCAAGTTGATATTTGCGGTCACACAACGAACGTTTACCCAAATGCTTTCGAAGACAGCCGCCGCCACTACCCAATGACGCGGGACAAAACGCAAGCAGGCGGCGTGGGTTGATGCCAACACGTAGTGCTGCAGTGTACAACTACTGTAGTACGTGGTGGCGTGCTCAAAGGTTACATTTCGGTCTGCAGGCTTGACGAGGCGAGGTAGCAGTGGTGGCGAGCATGGCGAGTCTCAAATTTCACTTGAACGCGGGCCACCGTCGCTGGAAGACGCACATTGTCCCAGAACCACGGGAGGTAGTACCCTTGGGCAACCTCGAAATGCACGCTCGTGTTTCTTGTGCTCGCGAGCGCGTGGAGGACGGTGGTGACGCTCTCCAGCGCCAGCATCTTTGCATGGCAGTCGAGAAGGATCGTGAGCGGCGTTAGTATCGTCCGTGCGCGAAGCTCGTCCGCGATTGCATAAACAAAAGTGTCGTCCACGTTGCAGTCCAGAAACTGCGCGCGACCAAGTGTCGGCGGCAACCACGGTTGGGCTACGCGAGCGACCTGCGGACAGCGGCGCCAAGCGACGGTCTGTAGGCGGGGCGACCGACCGAGGTAAGCGAGGAGGCTGTGTAGCACCGACTCGGTGCGCCACACGACCGAGAAGAACCGTGCGCTGCAGAGCACCGGCGCGCCTGCAAGGCCGTGAGCTACCGCCTCGTTGAGCTTGCAGTAGCCCAGCGTCAAGTGCGTGAGCGCTGGCAGACGCGACACCATTGCAAGCAAAGGTGATAGATCTTCTTGTTGATTCCCGCGGACATCGAGTTGTGTTACCTTGCATGCGTCGAGCTGCGCCACGAGTCGGTAGTGGCCCGGCACGGTGGCAAACGACACTTTGAGCTGCGAGAGACTACCAAAACACAGCCCAGAAGCCAAAAGAGCTTGTGCGACGGCATCGGAATGGTTGATGGCGAGGCGCGTCAGCGATGACGTTGCGGTGAGGACGGTGGCGAGCGACACACCCGCGTCAACGGTAGCGAGCGCCATGTTGTTCAATGTCAGCGTCCGTGCGGTAGTCGATTGCAGCCATGGTCGGAGAGCATCTCCAAGGTCGAGCATCGCTGTAGGTGATTGCCTGTCGCCCCCGCTGTCGATAATCGTGAGGTGACCAACCTCTTTGAGACTGCGCAGAAGATCCCTAGCGTAGGCACTGGCGACGTCGACTTGCACCGCGTCCAGCCGCGTGCATTGGTGTATGAGATGACAAAGCTCGTCACTGTCGCAGGCTGTGAGCTTGGCGGGTACAGCGAGAGAGACGACCTGCGAAGGCCATGTCTTCAGAAAGCCGACCAAGCTCTGCGGCTGCCCGGGTACGCGCGCCGCCTGGAGGCAATCATCGAGGTGATCGGGCTGCTCGATCTTGACGGCCGGAAGGATGGGCATCACGGCCAGCATACGGTCCATGTGCATGTTGCCAGCGCACTCGATGCGGGGGACCGGCCATTCAAAGTGCTTGGACTGCTGGAAGAGATGCAAGAGCGCAGTGAACGGCGGCGGCAACGAAGCGCTTGGGAGCGCCGTGAGCAAGGCAAGCGCGTCCATTGGCGAGGCCACAAACGCCAGCACGTGAAGAAGCGAGGTTGCATCCATCGCGCGGTTTGTCAAGGGACACCCGCCGTGCGATCGCTAGCGTGCACCAATCAGATCGCGTCCAAACTTGCGTGAATATATACGTACGGTGCTTTTATTATTCTTTCAATCTACACAAACGCCACTTGAAGTTGGTCGATTGGCAAGATACAGTGTAGAGCCGGTGGCCCAAGACGGCGCAGCCGAGATCCTGCTCGACAGCTTTCATCGGGCTCGCACCTTGCTCGAGGACTACTAGAATATCGTCAACCACGGACCCTAGACGTGAACTATCATTGTAGGTAGGCTAGAAGCACACAACATTTGGGTTGGTTCGACCAATCACGACGCCAGTTGCTTCTTTTGACATATCAAGAATGGCAGCTCCTTCTGCCACCGCGGCCGCTCTCCACTGCAATGGCATCCTCATCGCGATCGTGCAGTGCATTGCGTCGTCCTGCGAAGTCGTGGCCTTTCTGGACGTGCTGCCACACTCGGTACTCGGCAAGCCGCTTCGCGCCTTGCATGCGCTGCTCTCGCGACCTGGCCCGTCCCTCTACGAATGGCCCAAGCCAAGCTTCCTCGGGCTCGTCGGCGACGAAGAGGCGCTTCTTCACGCCGCCTTGCACGTCTACGAGGCCATCGGCGTCTATAACGTGCATGGGTTTGGCCCCAAGTTCGCGACGGTGTACGACACGGCGCCCTTCTGCGCCTTTGCTTCGACTTGGGCCCACAAGATTACGTTAATGGACATGTCAATTAGCACCGAGCCCTTGGACGAGGCGGTCTGCCACGCACTGCGTCAGTGCACGCGTCTCCGCGAGGTCTGGCTCGATGTCTCGCCCATGACGACATTGCTGTTTCAAGCGGTCACGACACCCGCGCATCGCGTCCGCAAGATGCACGTTCAGTCGTTTCGAGACGAAGCATTCGACTGGACACCTCTTTTGACGTCGTGGCTGGCTACCGGGCATGCAAACCACCTCAGTGTGTCTGAAATCACGCCACCAAACGACGACCTCGCCCGCGCGATCGCATCGACGTTGTCGCTGCGCGGCCACGAGCTCTACGGCTGTGACGACTTTGTGCAGCAGCTCTTTTCCCTAGGTCAGCCGCTGCGCCACCTCACCCACGTCCGTCTCCAAACCGACGTGCCAGCCCACATCGCGACGCTGCTGCAACGCGTCGACGTGCGTCGGCTCGAGTCGCTCATGCTCGCGAGCCGCGTGCCGCTGGATCCGCTGGTGCAGTATTTGCATGCCGCACCGCTCTTGGAAGAGCTCGACTTGTGTCGCTGCTCGCTGACGACGACCAACGAACACGTCGTGGGCACGTGGCCGCGGCTTCGCATCGCTCGCTTTGACGATGTGGGTTTTCGTGCCGACGTGTTTAAAGACGTCTTGGTCCACCTCTCGACCTCGGACCGCCTCGAGCACGTGTCCTTTACGGACTGCCACATCGTCCGCACCGAGATGGCAGCAATGAGTGCTGAGCTCCGCGTCTGGATTGAAAATGGGCTTCGGAGCTTGACGCTGCGTGGCAATATCCTCGACGACGCATGCGTCGCGCTCATCGCGCAAGTCCTCGGCGAGACCGAGAACACCGCGCCACTGACGCAGGAGCTGACGGAAAATGACTACACTATCAGCTGCGTCTGGGGCATGCTCGCGGCACTCGCCAATAGTACGTGCGTCAACGTCGTCATGGACTTGGAAGAAGACATTTCGGAGCGGGACATGGATATGATCGCCAAGGTTGCTGCCTCGTATGGCATCAAGGCCGTTCTCACGGAATGCCATCTCGAGATGTACAGCTCGTTTGCAATTGCATGAAGCGCGCATTGCGGGCAATGCGTTGAAGCTTGCGAGCAGGGCTACACTTAACACACAAAGTTGCGGGACGTGGCGTCCAACTTTAATAAGTCCGTGGGTCTTTTGAGTTTTATATGTAGCAGAATGGGACACGCATTGCCGCCTCGGTGCTTTAGCAGTACGACGAGTTAAAGGTGAGTACCCTTTAGGATGTGGGGAGATAACACTTTGTGGCTTTAAAAATAAAAGACGAGAAGAAAAAAGGAAGAGGGAAGGTCGACGCTCGAAAGGCGCCCTTCGTTGTGGCTGGCGTCCCACTCGCAGTGGCGCGATCGCCATGGAGTGCTCCATTTCATCGCGAATACAAATTTCAAGTGCGCCTTTTAAAAATTTCTTCAAGGTACACTTGCAATTTGACGCTATCCGGATACGCCATTTGTGGCGGGAAGGCTGCTCAACGGCCCCGTAAAGAAATGCGCGATCTTTATCCGGCTCGCCACAGTCAACGGTCGCGACAACAGGTTCGCGGGACGCTGCAGCCCATGTGGCTGGATGGCCAGATCGGATACTGCGATTGTCGTCTATGCGATGGAACGCGCATCACCCAAGACAGCGTGGCGGGCTCGAGAGAGAGCTGCGGAACGGGATCCCAAGGATGTATTTGAATTAAGAACGCTCTCTCAACGCCCTTGGTGTCACGGACCACGTCTAAAAGCACGCCATTTTTGGTTGGCCGGCCGCGTTTCCGTCTTCAGAACGCATCATGGCCGCTGCCACCGCGGCCGCATTCCACTGCAATGGCATCCTCACCGCGATCGTCCAGTGCATTGCCGGCGCACGTCGTGGTCTTTCTGGACGCGCTGCCGTCGCAAGTGCTTGGCGCATCGCTTCGCGCACTGCGTACGCTGCTCTCGCGGCCTGGCCAGTTTATGCACGAGTGGCCCAAACCGTGCTTCCTCGGTCTTGTCGACGACGACGAGGACCTTGCATCGGCCGCCTTGCCCGCCTACGAGGCCATTGACGATTTTTTTGTACCCAGCACTTTTCTAGGCCCCGACGTGTTTAACGTTAGCACTTTTTTGTCTTCATGGGCCCACAAGATGACGGCCATCGACGTCACGTTCAGCGCCAACCACATCAACAAAGCGGTCTGCCAAGCGTTACGTCGCTGCACGCGCCTTCGCGAGGTCTCGTTGGACTCGTCGCCAAGGATGACGCACGTGTTTCAAGCGGTGGCGCATCACGTGTCCAGACTCAACGTGGTGATGACGCGAGGTGACGCCGTGGACTGGACACCGCTGGTGACGTCGTGGCTCGCGAGTGGCCACGCCGAGCACTTGAGTCTGCGCTGCATCCCAGTCGCCACCGATGCCCTCGCGCGCGCCGTCAGCCGGACGCCGACGCTGCGCAGCCTTGCGATCTTCGCGTGCGATGACGTTGTCGAGCAGCTACTTGGTATCGGGGAGTCTCTGCGCCACCTCACGCGCTTTAGTTTCGGGACCAAAGTGCTTGTCCTCGTGGGCCGACTTCTCGATTTCGTCGACATCCGCTCGCTAACGTCGGTCACGCTCTCCTGCAGCATGCCGCTGCATCCAGTGTTTTACACGCTGTGTGGCTCGCCCGCGCTTGAAGAGCTCGTCTTGCGCTGGTGCTCACTCACCGTTCGCAACGATGACGACGTCGTCGGACACTGGTCGCGACTCCGCGTCGCTCGGTTTGATGGCGTGGACTTTAGCGCCGACGTCTTTGACACTCTATTGGCGAGTCTCACGTCCTCGCAGGTTTTGGAGCACATGGGCTTTCACGACTGCAGCACTGTCTCTGTTGTGCCGTCGGGGTTCACTGCCGACGCAAGGTCTGCTCTTGATGAGGATGCACCGCTCTTCAAAGGCAAAACGAAAAACTGAATTCGATGGTTAGAGAAACTGTCCTTGTCCATTCGCAGTCTGGCCAGTCCGCCAGCCAATGGGAGGGCAGAACGGGCTTGGACTGCCACGTGGACACAACATTCCCCCCCATGGTCTACACGACCTCGGGATGAGTAGCGCGAAGAGCAGAACGCATCTTGGCGACATTGCCGTTGCCACGGGCTGCAGAGCGGAGAAAAGCCGCCATGATCTTGGGCACGTCCGTGGCCATGTCGGCCGCAGGTTCCCACGAAGCCTCGAGGACGTCGAGACCGAGCCACTTGACTTTGACTTGCCATTGCTTCGACGGCCGGTCATAACGACAGTCGAGCATCGCTTCCACGAGATGACCACCTTCGACGTACGCGATGTGGTCCTTGAGATCTTGCGTCACTAGGAGGTCCTTGGTCGCAAAGAACTTGAGGCGCGACGCATGATGCGTCGACAGCGAGCCGTCGCGGAGGTCTTCAACCACGAAGACCCAGTCCGAGATGATCTCGACGATGCGGCGCGGGCCGAGCCACTGCACCTGGAGCTTGTTGGCTAAAGCACTCGAGACTTTGCCGACCAGCACATAGTCGCCGAGCGAGAAAAACACTTGACGCTGCTTGACACCACGCCTGCTGTTGTGGCGCGAACGCTCCTTGTCACGACGCTTGCGACCAACCTCGGCAGCAGCGCGGTGGAGCTGGTCCCGGGCAGCAGCGAGCTCTTGGAAGGCGTCTTCGCGGAGGCGAGCAAGGAGTTCTTCCGGGACTTCCTTGATGTCGCTACCGACGCGATAAGCGGACAACGCATGCCCCGGCGGGAGCAGCGTCATCGCCGTGATCGGCGCTCTTCCTTGCCCGAGCTTGGCACTTGGGGTGTGGTTGAGCGCATGTTGCACAAGCGGCACGAGGACACGCCATTCCTTGGCGTTCATGTGCAGCTCCGCGAGCACAGTCTTGAGGGTCTTGAGCACCGTGCGCATGAGGACTTCGACGGTACCATTCGCCCATGGGCAGTGCGCAGGCGAGAAGTTGTGCACGCTGCCGTACTGGCGACGCACTTCGTCGACCACCTGGTTCTTGTAATGAGGCCCTTGGTCGGAGGCCCACTGCGGGGCGATACCGAAGTTGGCAAACCATTGCTGGAGCGAATCAATCGCGTCCAGCGCCTTGCAGTTGTCGTGGACCGTGAGCTGGCAGAACCGGCTCGCATCGTCCACAATGACGTGGATATAGCCGCCTGGCATCGAGAGAAAGTCGCAATGGATGAGCTCGTTGGGCGCCGTGGCATGCAGAGTCTCGCCAAGCGGGCGAGGGACCTTGCCATTGCCGACCGACATGCACTGCAGGCACTGGCCGACAAAAAGCTCGACATCGTCGACCATGTTGCGCCACGTAAACGCGCTCATAAGGGCTTCCTTGGTCGCGGCTTGGCCACGGTGGCCCATGGCACCTGCGTGTGCCACGACGAGAAGCGTCATCTGCATGTCAACAGCCGACGGCGGGATCCAGATGCAGCCGTTGAGGCGGCCGACACCCGAAGGGTCCGAGCAGTCGAGACGAGCCTTGATGTCGTCGTACTCGGCGCCAGCCTCGCGCTGCACTTGAGCAATGGCCGCCACGGTCGGCCACTGGAAATCGGGGCCGAGCGGTGACGCAACCTGCGCCGGGACAACCACAAGTCGGCGCACACGCAGGGCACGCGTAGTCGGGCCGTCCGTCTCGGGCGTCGTGGCATTGGCGAGAGCGCCATCATCCGACGGCGTCCACGGCAAAGCAAGCGCGTCGACCGCGGCTGCGCGGTTGCCCCAACGGGAGAGCATATCCCCCCACACGTTTTCGTCCCCCGGCACGTGGAAAATGGTGTACCGGAAACACGTGAGCGTGACGGCCCAGCGCGCGAGCTTGTCGGCAAGGTAGCGCGGTTGCGCCGGCGAGGCATCGACACCAAAGATGAACTCCAAGTTGCGGTGGTCCGTGAGGATGACGAACCCGAGATCGCGGTGGAGGAGGTAGTCGAGCCGCTTGACCGCGAAGATGATTGCATAGGCTTCCTTCTCCGTGACGCTCCAGCGTAGCTGCGTCTCGTTGAACGCGCCGCTGACAAAGGCGAGCGGACAGTGATGCTGCTGATCGAGCGGCCAGTCGGCCTGTTCGGCCGGCACTTGCGTCAGCACTGCGCCGTAAAAGCAATGGCTGGCGTCCGTACAGAGGTAGAAAATAAACTTGTCGTTCGGGTGCGCAAGCGTAACGGCGTTGAGGAGCGCATCCTTGCAGGCCGCAAAGCAGCGCACGTGCTCGTCGTTCCAGCCATGCGCGTCGAGCCGCGCAAATGCGAGACGAGCCTTCTTGCGCGTGCCGGTCGCGACGCACACCGCCTCGAGCTCTTCGTGCAACGGCGCCACGAGCTTGTTGAACTCTGGAATGGACTCGCGCATCCAGTTGAGCGCGCAGACAAACTGCTGCAGCTGATCGGCGGTCTCGGGCGTGCTGAGCTCGACGAGACCCGCGATGCGTTTCGGATCGTGGCTGACACCTGCCGCGCTGATGCGACGGCCGCACCAGACGACTTCGGGCGCAAAAAACGTGCACTTGCCGGGGTGCAACTTGAGACCGTACTCAACACACCGGCCGAGGAGGAACTTGAGGAGATCGATGAGGTCCCGGGGCGACTTGGCGCTGCCGAGGACGTCGTCGACCCAGCCTTCGAGGCCATCGCCGTACTTGTCGCCGTACACTTCCTGCGCGACGCGTTGACAATACGCGACCGCATCCGTCTGGCCCATCTGGACCCGGTTGGACGTGATGACGCAGTCGATGCCAAGGATGGAAAACCACTCCTGACAATCGCGATGGAGCCCGAGCTGCCAAAAGCCGCGGAACCAATCGGCCACAAAGTAGCACGTCGTGCCGCTCAGGCGCGCCATGACAACGTTGAGCATAGGCATGGGCCAGACGAGCGGGACCGTCTGCGCGTTGACACCGCGCAGGTCGACGGTCATACGGAGCTCGCCGCTCTTCTTGGGAACGATCCGAGGCGCCGACGCCCAGTGCGAGTTTGGATTCATGTACGCAAGACCATGATCGAGCAGGTCCGTGATGGTGTCGCCCAAAAACTGGGTGTACCTCGGGTTGTAGCGACGTTGCGCGCACTTGAACGCAACGTAGCCGTCCTTGAGCGTCACGACGAGGGGTTCCACCTTGATGGGCGGATCCTTGGCCGGCTTGACGCGAAAGACGTCGATCGCACGCATGACCAAGTCGTAGAGTTCACGCGTCAGCGGCTCGGGCAAGCCGTTTGGTTGGCTTCCTGTACCGCGGCCGTAAGAATGTCCTTGACGGCCGCCGTGACGTCCTTCCCATCGGGCAGCGCCACGTCATGTTCGTCGTCGTCGTCGACCAGCGCATCGAGCTCATCCTCCCCCGCAGCGCGCCACGTCAGCACGGCACGCTTGACCATCGAGGTGGACGAGAGCGCAAGTGTAGCACTGTCCGTCATGTCCCAGACCGCACGGCGAGCATGAGCCTTGTGCAGAAGGACATCAAGGTCGTAGCCGAGCGTCTGCATGACCGCGCGACCCAGCGTGATGTTGGAGCCCGCATCCGTCTCATCGACCCAGGCCGAAATGTTGAGGAGCGTAAGTGGCCCCGGCTGCGCATCGAGAACCAACTCGTTGAGGACCATGTAGCGGGAAAGCACCATCGGGACTTGGCCAAAGCCTTCGAGAGGCTGCGCCACCGGCGCCGTCGCAATCGCAGCAGCCGGGTCTTGCTGCACAAGCAGCTCGGCCAGACCTCGCGAGATAATCGCGGCAATGTCCGACCCCGTGTCCAAAAGTACCGGCACCGGCGGACCGTCGGTAAGGCCATTGACATGCCCGGGCAGGGCGCCTGGCGGTAAGTCGTGCTCGGCGCGCGACAGCTTCTTGGTCTGAGCCCGGCGCCGCTGCTCGCCTTCCTTGCGTCTCCGTGCGACAATCTCCTTCTTGGCGTCGTCCGAGGTGTTCTTGCAATCGGCGAGGTGGTGAGCTTCACTGCATGCCCAGCACTGGAGAGTACGCGCACCGCTTGACGGCGCACGCGCAGCGTTGTTGGCGCGAGCCACCTTGGCCTTCAAGTCCGACAAGCGCTTCTCTTCGGCCGCCGTCTGCGCCTTGAGTTCGTTGAGACGCTTGACTTCTGCCACGGCAACGGAAGGCGTCTCGTCGGACACCTTCTTCTTCTTGCCACGGAGATTGCGGACAAGTTGCGCGTTGGCCTCGGCCCGCATAGCCGGGAGCACATGGCCCAGACGCTCGCGGACGCGCTCCCAAAACATGAAGATGTTTTGCTTGAGATGAGGGTCGTCAAAGTCGTAATCTTGCTTGATGAGCGCGCGGACACCCTCGGGCTTGATCCCGGGGATAAGAGCCTGGACGACTTGCTTGGGGTGGAAATAATCGATGTCTTCAGCGTGGTTGCTGACCAAAACCTTGTGATACTTGGCCTGCCAGTCCGTCATGCGGTCGGCCACGTCGAGGATCGAGTTGTCCATCGACAGGTTGTGGATCATGGCGACAACGACGGCCTTGTTGTCGGCTGGTCGGCCCAGCGACGCTTCAAAGAACATCTCCCACTGTCGCTCCGAGATGTCGTCCACGGACTGGTTGAAGGTAAACCGCGCATGGTGCGCCCTCGCTTCGGCCGTCATGCACGCGCTCATCATGACGGTGCCAACGGGTTGTCCCATGGAGATGCTGATTTTGTCCTGCGCTTGAGCATAGGCGATGAACTCCTTGGTGAACGCGAGCTGGGCTTGCGTGTCGAGACCCTTCTTGCCGTAGATCGGCGGC